TTTTTTGGTTTTTCGAGACAGGGTTTCTCTGTGGTTTTGGAGCCTGTCCTGGAACTAGCTCTTGTAGACCAGGCTGGTCTTGAACTCACAGACATCCACCTGCCTCTGCCTCCCGAGTGCTGGGATTAAAGGCGTGCGCCACCACCGCCTGGCTACATTTTTTTTTTAAAGATTTTATTTATTACATATACAATATAGTGTTCTGCCTCCATGTATGCCTGCATGCCAGAAGAGGGCACCAGATCTCATTTTAGATGGTTGTGAACCACCATGTGGTTGCTGGGAATTGAACTCAGGACCTCTGGAAGAACAGTCAGTGTCCTTAACCTCTGAGCCATCTCTCCAGCCCTTTTTTAAGGAAAAGAAAAAGCCAGGTGTGGTGATATGTGATTGGAAATTGTAGTCAAATGTGTCATGGACTGATAAAAGCTCAAACTGATGGAGAGTGCGTGAATAATTATAAGCAATTCACAAAAGAAATACACATTTTTCTCTATTCATTAAAGGTACTAAATTTCGGGCAAATTGCCACTTCCTTCCTCCTCCTTTGTTTTTATTATTATTGTTGTTGTTATTATCTAGATTTATGTGTTATTATCTAGATTTGTGTGTATGCATCACATGTTTGTCTGGTGTTTATGGAGTAGTTACAGACAGTTGTAAGCTGGCATGTGGGTTCTAGGGACCTAACCGGGGTCCTCTGGGATAAGCAGCCAATGCTCTTGACTGGCTGCAAAGCCGTCTCTCTAGCCTCTTCTTTGAAACAGTCTCATTTGGCCAGGCTGTATAGCTAAGCCCTTGAATTCCTGTTCCTTCTACCCTCATTTCCCAAGTATTAGGATTACAAGCATCCTAGCTTTGCTCCTTAGAAAATTATTACTATTCTGTGTGTTCTTGGACACAAGAGGTGTACATGTACATTACAAGACAATTTGGGGGAGTTTATTTTGCCTTCCACCAGGGTCCCAGAGATTAAAACTCAGGTCCTCAACCTGTACAGCAAGTGCTTTTGCCTGCTGAGCCATCCTGCCAACCCTGCTTGCTATTTGAATTCATTAGTTTTGTTATTGATGATTGTTGTTTTTGAGGCAGGATCTCGATATATAGCCTTGGCTGACTTGGTGCTCACTTTGTAGACCAGGCTGGCATTGAAGTAACAGATCCACCAGCCTCTGCCTTCCTGTTGATATTAAAGGTTGCCACCATGCCTGGTTCAATTTTTTTTTTAAAGATAATTATCATCAGGTTACTGGTGGTGCACGCCTTTAATCCCAGCCTTTGGGAGGCAAAGGTAGGCAGATCTCCGTGAATTCCAGGACAACCAAGGCTATGAAGAGAAACCCTGTCTAGGGGGCAAGAAAGATTACAATTAATTATTTGTGTGGAGGGTTGGCATTACTGTGTGTGTACAAAGGTCAAAGGACCCTAGGCGGAGTCGCTTCTCTCCATCATTTTGGCTCCAGAGATCAAACTTGGATCGTCAGGCTCTGCAGCAAATACTTTACCCTCTGAGCCATCTTGCTATGTCCTTCACTCTCTTTTTGCATAGATAGAAAATAGGAAGATTGGTTATTGATATTGGTGAGTGTTTGCATAAATGAATTTGTAATAGCAAAACGTTGAAAACGTTCACAGTGAAATAATTGGTATTTCCATATAGTAGACTGCTATCTAACTCTTGGGATATTTATTTTTAAGGAATCATTTCTAGTGTAAACTGCTAAATAAGGTCTAAGTGTTATGGATGCTATTGAAGAATGGACTACATGTGTGCCTATGGGTTATAAGAATATCCCTAGTCACCAAGAATTTAGGGAGAGAAAAGAGGTTCTTTATCTCGCCCATGTAACTTTATGCTACTAGTGATAAGTCTTATTTTTTGTGGCTTAAAATTAGTCTAGGATCTTTTTTTATTTTTTTAATTTATTCATTTATTATGTATACAATATTCTGTCTCTGTGTATGCCTGAAGGCCAGAAGAGGGCACCAGACCTCATTACAGATGGTTATGAGCCACCATGTGGTTGCTGGGAATTGAACTCAGGACCTTTGGAAGAGCAGGCAATGCTTTTAACCTCTGAGCCATCTCTCCAGCCCAGTCTAGGATCTTTTTGTTGAGACAGTATCTCACTTGCTGTATAGACCAGGCTGGCCTCCAGTTCACAGAGACCTAGCTGCCTCTGCCTCCCAAGTGCTGGAATTAAAGGCAAGCCCACCACCACTGATACTACTCCAGGATCTTCAATGTCTTCATTTGAGGTGGTTTTCTAGCAGTTTCCAGTATTTTCTAGTCCAGAGCTCCGAACGGTTTTGAACCTGGTTCAACACAAAATCACAGACTCAAGCATGAACTTTGTAGATGACATTGTTGTGTCAGATATACATTTGAATACTCTTATAGTCCATGGGCTGTGGTTTGAACACCCCCAATTCTTCATCTAGTGTGGTCCAAAGAAGCCAAAAAGGTAGGTACACCTGTAGTAGACAGATGCCAGATGACAGCTTATTACTTCATTCCTTTATAAGTTTGAGAGTTTAGTTCAGGAAAGTTAAATACACTATATTATTAATATGAATTGTTAAGATATGTTTATGTGTATGAGTGTTTTATCTGCATGAATGTAGTGCACCAGAGCTTGTCTGATGCCTGTGAACATCCAAATAGGGCTTCAGGCCCCTGGGACCTGGTGGTTTTTAAGCTTTCATGTAGGTTCTGGGACTTAAACTGGGTCCTCTGCAAGTGCTCTTAGTTCTGGTCAAGTGTTCAGACCCCATACGAATTGTTGCAGTATCATTTTGAAGATTTTGAACTCTAGCAATTTCACCCTACCAGCTTTACAAAAAGACTTCTAAATGTTACAGGTAAAATTCAGTACTTTTTATTTTATAGATTTTTGATGAAATTGAGTCATGAAACCGTAACCATTGAATTGAAGAATGGAACACAAGTCCATGGAACAATCACAGGTGAGGAGGCCGCACTCTTTCTTATAATGAATGTTTTTGTTTTTCTCTCCATGTTCATGTGCTGGAGAGTGTTTTTTGGTTGCTTAATAAGCATTGTTGTAGTAAAGATCCTCATTCTTTTTGTTTAGATTACTGAATGGGCCTTAGTTAAGCCCCTCATCTTATATTCTTGTGCTACAACCAAACCACATTGCCAGGTGCTTTTGTTTTTATAGCTTGTATATCTTTGCTTGTGTGTTCTTCTCCATAAAATATTGCTTCTTCCAAAACACTTTTGAGACTTTACACTTTGATTATGTTTGTGTTTCACATTTGACTAATTTTTTATTACTTTTATTATATATGTGTGATTGATTTCATTATGGTATTTTCACACAGCTGTATTTTTATCTTCCTTTATTGTCCTCTCCTCTTCCGCTACTGCTTTCTTATTCCCACCTATTCATCCTCCATGTGCCAGTCTTTATTTTTTACTGACCCACTGAGTTTTGGAACAGTTTCTTAGCTAATAGTAGGCACTCCAAAAGTTTTTTAAGTGATTATTTAAAGAAAGAAAATAATATCTTAATATGTGTTCATATTCTCATCTAAGTCCAGTGTTTTAGTAAACAAAGAGATGTAATGGGATGTCATTTTATGGTTATTCCAGGACTTGATGGTACCAGTTGTGAATGGAACTTGCCTATTAAGTTTTGTATGGTATGGCATCATATCTAAGGAAGTACAGCTGCTGCCCTTGTTAAAGTGTCCTGAGTAGTGATTTGGTCTACTTCCTGCAGAACACAGTTGGGCGTTGTGGAAGGGCTGGGGTGGGTTTTGTTGTGGTAGTGTTCCCTCCGCCCTCTATTTCTAGGTAGAGTCTTAAGTATTCTAGAACTAATCTTAAACTTACTGTGTATGGTTAAGGATGGTCTTGTTTTCCTGCCTCTAGCTCCTGGGTGCTGGGATTATAAGTGTACACAGCACACCTCTTTTATTTGGCAATGGGGGTTGAAACCAGGGCTTCATATCTAACAGCTGAGCTATCCCCAGCCCCCAGAATGGCCATCTTGCTCTTTTTTTTTAATCAAAATCTAATGATAAAAGCTCTACTATTAAAAAAACAAACAAACAAAAACAAAAACACACGTTTCACCATATACATAATAGGTGCTTAGTAAATGGATGTCCCAGGAGGAAGGTTTCAAAAAACTGGGAGGACAAAATTTAGTAAAGATCTCATTCCCTCTAGTGGACAGTCACTGTTGAGACTTCAGTATCTTATATGAACATACACACACTTATACATACAGCTCAGTCATCACAGTATGCTATATGCCATGAAGGTAGTGAGAGACTAATTAATATGTCTTAATGTATAGGTCTTAGAACATAAGAGATGGTAAGTCTCTCTGCTCCTCCTTGCCTACATAAATCAGTGTCCCTAGGAGGCAGAGGAGGCGGAATATATCGAGGCTATATCATAGGAAGGGGAAAGGATTTGTTGTTGCTTTTTTTTTTCCTAAGACAGAATTTCTCTGTGTAACCCTGGCTGTCCTGGAACTTGATCTGTAGACCATGTTTGCCTTGAACTCAAAGATGCACCTGTCCCTGCCTCCTGAGTACTGAGAGTAAAGGCCAACATTCCCATTTCCCAACCCCCTTCTTGTTTGTTTTCTTTTCCTCTTTCTTTCTTTCTTTCTTTCTTTCTTTCTTTCTTTCTTTCTTTCTTTCTTTCTTTTTTCATTTTTCAAGACAGGGTTTCTCCATAGCTTTTTGGTTCCTGTCCTAGAACTAGCTCTTCTAGACCAGGCTGGCCTCGAACTCACCAAAAAAATTTTTTTTAAGAAATAAACAAATAGACATGTTAAGCTGGTTGTGGTGTTGGTTGCCTGTAAACCAAGTAAGCACTAGGGAGACTTAGAAGAATCACAAGTCTGAGGTCAGCCTGGAGTGCAGAGATAGACTTTATCTCAGGAAGGTAGGGGAGGAGTTCCGAGAGACAGGTGAAAAATAGCATAGGTCTTTAAAAAGAAAGTTGAACATGGTTGATAGAATGTTGGATAAGGAAAATTATGGAGACAGCGGGAGAATTGTGCCACAAACACTATCCAATCCCGGGACAAGAATTCTGTTTTGAAAGTAGTGGACTTAAGGCATATACAATATTCACGTTCCTTCACAGCTTGCTATATTTCATTTCCTTTGTCTACCAGATAGGTTCTTTCTCTGTAGTCCAGCTCTCCTTGAACTCGTGGCACTCCTCCTGCCTCAGCCTCTTGAATGCTGAGATTCCAGGCATGACTTAAGCATACCACCATGCATCCTATTCAGTGCACATACTTAGCCTGCACAGTAGTACCATGGCTAGGAAGGGGGGCTTTATGAAGGAGCAGTTGCTAGTTTATATTGCATCCCCCCATTTGCATGTAACTAACAGATTAGATAACTCTTTTGTTAATTTAAGGATTTATTTATTTTATAAATACAGTGTTCTGTCTGCAGGCATGCCTGCATGCCAGAAGAGGGCATCAAATCTCATTATAGATGGTTGTGAGCCATAGATGATTGTGAGCCGTCATTTGGTTGCTGGGAATTGAATGTAAGACCTCTTCTTTCAGCCATCTCTCTAGCCTCCAGATAATACTCTACAGGATTATTTCAACTGTGGCAAGATAGATTGCCTTCTGGTAATTGTTCTGTTTTCCTCCTTAGGTGTAGATGTTAGCATGAATACACATCTTAAAGCTGTGAAAATGACCCTGAAGAACAGAGAACCTGTACAGTTGGAAACATTGAGTATTCGAGGAAACAACATTCGATACTTTATTCTACCAGACAGCTTACCTCTTGATACATTACTTGTGGATGTTGAGCCTAAGGTGAAATCTAAGAAGAGAGAAGCTGGTAAGTGTGAAGGTGTTTTGTGTATAGGGTATTTAAATCTTAATTCACTGTTGAAAATACCTTTGTGAACAACAAGGGTGTTTTGTTGGCTTGGAACATCTTATACTTATGAGTGCATGAGTGCATGTGACAGAGCTTCTGGAGTTGCTATGGAGACCAGCCATGCCATTCTTCTGTAATCTCAGCATTCAAGAGGCTGAGGCAGGAGGAGTGCCACAAGTTCAAGGAGAGCTGGACTACAGAGAAAGAACCTATCTGATAGACAAAGGAAATATATAACAAGCTGTGAAGGAACGTGAATATTGTGTATACCTTAAGTTCACTACTTTCAAAACGGAATTCTTGTCCCAGGATCGGATAGTGTTTGTGGCACAATTCTTCCGCTGTCCCCATAATTTTCCTTATCCCATTCTGTCAAGCTATGTTCAACTTTTTTTTGGAGGCTGGCGGCACGGCTGCCTCTTATTTTATATAATTTGTGAAAATTCATTGTGAATCTTCTTGCCCATACAACTAAGAAAACGTTAAATTTTGTTGACTTATTGACTGATTCTCTTGTCTTTGTGCCTTCTCGTTCTAGCTACTGCTGTCGGTTGGCACAGACTTTATCTCAAGCCTCCCTTCAGTTTTCATAAGCTCCTGTTCCTGTTGTCTTAGGGGTTCTTTCTTTTTTTCTTTTTTCTCTTTTCTTAGGGGGCGGGGTTGGGTTTTTGAGACAGGGTTTCTCTGTGTAGCTTTGGAGCCTGTCTTGGCATTCACTCTGTAGAACAGGCTGGCCTTGAACTCAGGAGATCCACCTGCCTCTGCCTCTTGAGTCCTAGGATTAAAGGTGTGCACAGCCACCACCTGGCTTTTCTTAGGTTTTCTGTTGCTGTGAAGAGACACCATGACCACAGCTCTTATAAAAGAAGCACATTTAATTGGGGTGGCTTACATTTTCAGAGGTTTAGTCCATTATCATCATGGTGGGACATGGCGGGATGTAAACAGACATGGTGCTGGCTATATATCTTGATCAGAAGGCAACATGGAGTGAACTGCCTCACTGGCTGTGGCTAAACTTACTTGAGACCTCAGAGCCCGCCTCTACAGGGACATACTTCCTCCAACAAAACTGTACCCACTCCAGCAAGGCCACACTTACTATTAATGCCATTCCCTTTGGAGGACATTTTCTTTCAAACCACCACCCTCATTGTTTTTATTGTGTTATTATTTTGCAGGCACACATGGGAAGGGAGGTATGGAGACAGGGTTTCTCTTTGTAGCCCTGGCTGTACTAGAACTTGCTCTGTAGACTGGGCTGGCATTGAGCTCACAGAGATCTGCCTCCAGAATGCTGGGATAAAAGACATGTGCACTACTGCTTGACATTAGTTTTACTTTCGTTAACCTTATTTATAATTTGAAATTTTCTTGTACATATACATAATATCTTGATCAGCTCTTGAACCTCTTCTCCCATATACCCCAACTTCATGTCAGATTGTGTGTGTATATGGTATAGGACTATTCTACCTCAATTTTTCTTTGAGAAGTTTTTAGTATTTTGTCATTGTTAGTTTTCTCTGATTGCTTTCTTTTTCTTTTTCTCTTTTTTCTTTTTTTTTCTGATGTAGCTCACCTGATCTCAGATTAACTGTAGTGAAAAGTAACTTGGAACTCTTACTCCTGCCTCCATTTCCCAAGAGCTAGGATTAGAACTGTTCACTATCCTGGTTTATGTGGTGCTAGTGATCAAAAGCATGCTAGGCAGGCACTCTGTCCCATTACACACACAGGGTTTCTCTGTATAGCCTGACTGTCCTGGAACTTGCTCCATAGTCCAGGATGGCCTCAAACTCAAAGAGATCCTCTTGCCTCTGCCTTCCAAATACTGGGATTAAAGAAATATACCACCTCTGCTGGTGTATTTTTATTTTTAAAGACACTTGGATTTTCTTTGCCTGGAGATGGCTCAGAGAATAAAATTACTTGCCATGCAAGCCTCCTTACCTGAGTTTAATCCCAAACCTGCAGTGAAAAGAAAAAACATCTCCCAAAAGTTTTACTCTGCCTTCCACATGTGCAGTGTGGCATTCTCTCAAGTATGCACATACATACACATAACATATACACATGTGATAGTAAAACTAATAATTCATTAAGAACTAACATTGGAGAATTAAACCTATAATCTTGTACATAAAAAATAAGCCTCTACTATTTTATTACATTCCCATCATTTTGTTTTCTTATTTTTACATTTAGTTATTTATGTGTGTATGCAGGTGCCTGAGAGTATGGGCACATATGTATGGTGATGTGTGTTTGGAAGTGAGGACAACTTGCAGGAGTCAGCGTGCCTTCTTTCACCATGTAGGTCTTGGGGATTGAACTTCAGTTAGCAGTCGTTGCAGCAAACACTACCTACTGAGCCATCTAGCCTTGAGCTTGTGCCCCTCTGCTCAACCTCCCTAAGTAACTGCCCCCCCTCCACAGGGTTTCTCTGTAGCTTTGGAGCCTGCCCTAGAACTAGCTCTTGTAGAACAGGTTGGCCTCAAACTCAGAGATCCTCCTGCCTCTGCCTCCCAAGTGCTGAGATTAAAGTCAGGTGCCACTACCTCCCGATGTAACTGGGCTTTCTTAGTCTCATTCTGTTGGTCCTAACTTCTATTGGATTCCAAAGTAAGTTGGCCTCTTAGCTAGGCAGATTAAAAGTTTCAGAATCTGGAATTCTATCTTAGAGTTTAGTTTCTTGCTATATTAGCTACTTTCTTGTTTCTCTGAGAAAATACTAGACAAGAAGAAGCTTAAGGAAAGGAAGGTCTGTTCTAGCTCAGTAGCTATCAACATGTGGGTCACAACCCCTGTGTATGAGGTCACATGACCCCTTCACAGGGGTCACCTGAGACCATTGGAAAATACAGATACTCATCATGATTCATAACAGTAACACAATTAAGTTAAAAAGTAGCAATGAAATAATTTTATGGCTGGGGTGTCTCTACAACATGAGGAACCATATTAAAGAGTCATAGCGTTAGGAAGGTTGAGAGCCACTTACCGTGGAGAAAGTAGAACTGTAGGAGCAGACCCTTGTCCTGTCACATTGTGTGTCCAGGCAATAAAACCTCAAGGCAAAGAGTTCCATCAGCTGGAGACCAGTGGTACAACATGTGAGTCTATGGAGGACTTTCCACACTGTGGGAGACATGGCTGTCAGCAGTGTAAGAGTAGGGTGGGAGCTTTGTTTCCAGCACTCAGGTGGCAAAGAAACCTTGTCTCAGAAAACCGAAAAAAGAAAAAAAAAAGAGTAGGGCAGGAGTAAAGGGCCATTGTTTCATAGATGTTTAATATGCTGACTTTGAGGGTTTTTTTTTTTTTTTTTTTTTTTTTTTTTTTTTTTTTTTTTTTTTTTTTTTNCTTTTAGTTATAGCACTACAAAAGCTCTTGGGGTTATCATTCTTTTTCTCATTTAAAAAATTGTAATACATAGCTTAAGAAACACTGATTTCATCTGTCCCTTTAAATCCCTCGCCTTGTACCGTTTTTCTAAATCTTAAGCCTTTCTGTGTTGTGTTTTGATTCCTTCTACTTTTTCTTTCCCACCTACTTGTCAAAGTCGTGAAAAACTTTACAGGATGCGTCCACATTTGTTCAGCCTTGTGTCGTATCATTCTTTGTATCTAAAGATCCTGTTTCTCTAGAAACAATTCCTTTACTAAGTGTACACCTATGATCCCAGCACTTGAGAGGCAGAGGCAGGCTCTCTAAGTTTGAAGCCAGCCTGGTCTACAGAGTAAGAACCAGATCAGCCAGAACTAGAAGAGACTGTCTAGTTAGGGTTTCCATTGCTGTGAAGAAACACCATGACCACCACAACTCTTACAGAGGAAAACATTTATTTGGAGTGACTTACATTTTCAGAGGTTCAGTCCATTTTCATCATGATGTGCAGACATTTTGCTGGAGAAGTGTCCTGCATCTGGACTTGTAGGCAACAGAAGTGGTGAGACATTGGGCATGGCTTAAGCATCTTTGAGACCGTAAAGCTTGTCTCCACGGTGACATACTTCATCCAAAAAGGCCACATCTACTCCAGCAAAGCCACACCTCTTAATAGTGAGACTCCTTTTGGGGGCCATTTTCTTTCAGACCACCACAGAGACCATATTCTAAAATGAAGGGGTGGATGACTTTACAGGGTTGTGGGTTATAGCTCAGTGATAGGCCACTTGTCTGACCTTTCTGCGTGAGGCCCTGGGTTTGATCTGACTACCAGGGGGGAATAGACAAATCTTAAAATCTTAGTCTGAGTACATCAAGCAGGTACACTGGTTTGTCTTTCTGTTTTGTTTTTGTTTTGTTTTGTTTTTTGTCCTGATAATGTTAAGGATATATGGCTGTGGGTTAAAGTACTAAGTTATGGTTGAGCAAAACAACTTTTCAGGCTCCGTTATTAGATTGCCATTTGGTATAATGTACTTAGGGTTTGTTGATTTTGGGCTAACTTGCTTGGCTTCTATTCTAGCATAGGGTATAAATCGTCCCTCTGCTGGCACTTTTTGGTTTTACACGGTAGTAGTGGTGTTTTAAGAGGTGTGGATAGTGGGGCTCAGTGGTTAAGAGCATTGCCTGCTCTTCCAAAGGTCCTGAGTTCAATTCTTGGCAACCACATGGTGGCTCACAACCATCTGTAAAGAGGTCTGGTGCCCTCTTCTGGCCTGCAGACATGCACACAGACAGAATATTGTATACATAATAAATAAATATTAAAAAAAAAAAAGAGGTGTGGATAGTAAAGCCTGTGTGGTAGCTGGGCACTGTGACTATTGAAGAGAATTTCACCTGCTTTAACTTTTTCCCCAGTTGCAGGACGAGGCCGAGGCCGAGGCAGAGGAAGAGGACGTGGTCGCGGCAGAGGAAGAGGGGGTCCTAGGCGATAATGTCTTTCAAGATTACTGTTCCAAAGTGATATGGAATTGGGGGATATTTTTTGTACAGGTTTTGTTTGTCAGTTTTTAATAAACTTAAGTGTGGGATGAAGTTTTCTGCTGATTATCAAATCAAAGTTAAAGTGTCTCCTGTGTACTCAGCACAGTGTTCAATTCCTGGTGTCAGTCACATGAAATATGTGTGCACTGAACATGCATTAAATTTCTTTGAGTCCATTTTATGGTGCCCCTTTTGAGATGAATAAACTCTTGGTATTTCAACAGAGTCCTTTTGGGATCGGATGTAAAATTCACTTTTGTTAGTTTTACTCTGGAACCAACCTTACTGGTAAAAGCAAGCAAGAAAAAAAAAAAACCTTTTATTTAATTAATTAATTTATTTTGCTTGCCTGTGGTGGCACATGCCTTTCTTTGGTCTCAGCACTCAGGAGGCAGAGTCAGGCAGATCTCTGATTTCCAAGACAACTAGGGCTACACAAAAAACATTGATTTTTGTTATTAATGTATTTTTGAAAAGTTATCAATAGAATATAACCTTAGATTCTCCAGAAATAAAACTCAGATGTTCACTAGATTTTCGTTTGAGCAGTGTAGAAGCCTTTATTTGTGCAGTGTGCCAACCAATAACTTCTTTGTCAAATGTTTATAAAGTTTTGTTTTTGGCTTTTGAGTCAGGGTCTCTCTACATAGCCCTGGCTTTCCTGAAACTCACTTTGTGGACTGGGCTGGTCTGTAACTCACAGGTGTCTGCCTGCCTCTGCCTCCCACGTGATGAGATCAAAGGGTGTGCCCCCATTCCAGGCCTCATCAGGAGTCTTAACCAAAGATAAAGACCTGTTTTGATAGCAGAATAATTTTCAGTTAATAAGAATTTTTATGTTTTTGTTCGCTCTATTTCTTTATTGATTGATTGATTTTGTTTTTCGAAGCAGGATTTCTTTGTGTAGCTTTGAGTCTGCTCTGGAGTTAAAGTGGTTTCTACCACTCTTACCTGATGTGTATGGTAGAAACTGAATTTGGGTTTTTTACTTTTGGAGATAGGTCTTGAAATTTTTTGTCTTTTGTTTTGAGACAGGTTTTCTCTGTAGCTCTGACTGTTCAGGGTTTAACTCTGTAGACAAGGCTGGTCTGAAACTCAGACATCTATATTTCTCTGCCTGCTGAATTAAGGGATTAAAGGTGTGTTCCACCTTGTCCAGCCTTGAAGATGTATTTTATGTGTGCATGCTCTGTTTGCATGTATACCTGCAGAGCAGAGCATCAGATCCCATTATAGATGGTTGTGACAATGCCATGTGGGAACTGAATTTTAGGACCTTTGGAAGAGCAGCCAGCACTCTGAACTGCTGAGCCTTCTAAACAGTCCCTGGCCTTGAACTTTCTGTTAAACTAAAACTGACCTTGAACTCCTTATTTTATTTATATATGGATATTATATAAGGACATATATATATCCTTAACATTTTGATTTATTTTTTATGTATTCAGGAACTTTGGGTGTATGCCTGCAGACCACAAAAGTGCATCAGCTTATGAGCTGCTATGTGGGTGATGGGAATTAAATTCAGGACCTCTGGGAGAACAGCAGTGCTCTTAACCAGTGAGTCGTCCCTCCAGTCCTGACTTTGAACTCCTGATCATTAGGATCATCTCTCAAGGGTTGGGATTACAAGCTTGAGTCACCACATCCAATTTAGAAGTTCTTGTTTAATTGGTTAAATTTAGGTTTGTGATTCTTATTAACACTAAACCACTTGGAGGATATTAGAGGCTGTCTTAGGGTTTCCATTGCTATGCAGAGATACTATGCTCACAGCAACTCTTACAAAGGAAAACATTTCATTGGGCTGGCTTACAGTTTCAGAGGTTTAGTCCATTATTATGGTGGCAGACAGACATGGTGCTGGAAAAGGAACTGAGAATTCTGCATCTTGATGTGCAGGCAATAGAAAGTGAACTGTGCCCCCAGAAAGTGAACTGTGTCCCCACACTGTTTGTAGCTTGAGCATAGGAGCCTCAAAGCTCCTCTGTAGGCCAAGCATTCAAACACATGAGTTATTTTGTTTCTTAGGCAGGGTCTCTGTAACAGCCCTGGGTATCCTGGAACTCACTTTGTAGACTGCTTTGTAGAACTAAGATCAGCCTGTCTCTGCTGGGATTAAAGGTGTGCGCTACCTCCAGCCTGGCACAAGTAGGTCTTAACATCTCTTTTATTAAATTTTCTGGGAGCTAGGAGATGGTTAGATTTGTAAAGTACATACATACATAAACATGAGGCCCTGAATTCAATAAAGTTAAGATGTGAACACCTTTAGTGCCAACATTGGAGGCGGATGCAGGCAGATATGAGTTCAAGGGGGGGCGGGGTTAGAGATAAGTGGATCCCAAAAGGCTCTTCAGCTGACCCACCTGTTCTCAATTTTTTTTTTTTTTTTTTTAAAGGTTTTTCGAGACAGGGTTTCTCTGTGGCTTTGGAGCCTGTCCTGGAACTAGCTCTGTAGACCAGGTTGGTCTCGAACTTGCAGAGATCCGCCTGCCTCTGCCTCCTGAGTGCTGGGATTAAAGGCGTGCGCCACCATCGCGGCTACCTGTTCTCAATTTTAGACCAGTGAAGGGCACTTTCTCAAAACAAGATGGACAGTAACTCTGTGACACTGCAGACTGTCCTCTGGTCTTCATAATTATGTATACATAGATAAACAAAAATTTTCTGGTCTGGAGAGATGGCCCAGACAGTACAGGTTTATCTTTAAGAGAATAAGATCTCATTCCTAGCACCCAGATGGCAGCTCACATTGCATGTTTCTGGTACACAGACATGCATGTAAGCAATTTTGTACAATATTTGATCATTGTTAACCATAAGATTGTGTTATTGTTAAAAATCTAATTGTGTGGTTCAAGTCACACAACAAAAACCTTGCTTATTGTAAACAGGATTAAAGTCAACCATATGTCAAGAGGCTGAGCAAGCAACCAGTTGACAGGAAATGAATAAGAAAATTCCTTAGAGGGTAAGACAGAATCAGGATGGATAGACGCATAGGAAGGAAGGGACATTGAGTTAGAGGAGTCTTGAGAAAGACCTTTTTCTGGAATGTCAATGAAAGAGGAAGGTCAGCTTGCTGCTTTCTCTGCCTTCCAGAGCTAGCAGGCTTTCACCGCATCTGGCTCCTGGGTCTATTGGTAAAATCAAACAGTTGAAAAAACAACAGATGCACATTTTAAGTTTAGGGTCTGGGCTGGTGAGATGGCTCAATAGATAATGGTACTTGCCCTGAGCTTGATCCCTGGGATCCACTTGGTAAAAGGTGACTGCAACACCTACAGGTTGTGCTCTGATTGCCATGTGCACATTATGTAGCCTGCATGCTTGTGCACATATATGCAAACATCTGTACACAAGTGAGGTGCTTTAGTGGGTGAAGAGAAAATGCTGTGCAGGCCTAATGACCCAAATACGGTCCCCAGATGGTCACTGACTCCTGGGTGTGTTCTCTGATCCATACAGTTGCCCGTTTCTCCTCTCTGAAACATGATAAAGTAGCCATTGTGAAAGTGGTATACAAATTTAAAGACTGAAATAATGAAGATTGTGTGAGACATGTTGGGTAATCTCAGCCCTTACCATCAATTTGAGGCTGTCTAAAAATGGTCTTAGCAGTATTTTAGCTAATTGGTAAATTTAAGTACTTATCCCACAATTGATATGCTTATTTTTTTATAGGGGATTAAAATTATGAATCTGTCCTATGACCAGATGACTTTATCAAGTGATTCAACAAATGTATGAAATCCATGATTGATACTTTATATGATAGATACTCTTGTTTTACATTTATGTGTATGAATGTTTTATTGAAATGTATGAATGTGTAGTACATGTGTGCCTGGTGTTGGAGGTCAGAAAAGAGTGTCAGATCTGAAACTGGAGTTAGTTGTGCATATGGGTGCTGGAAACCGAAACCCAGTCCTCTGCAGGAACAAATGCTCTTAACCAGCGAGTCCCTCTTCAGCTTCTGGTTTTTGAGATAGGATCTCACAGTCCAGATTGACCTCAAACTAATCCTGTCTCAACTTCCTGAAGCTAGCATTTTAGGCGTGTACCATTGACATGAATATCTTAATAGTAAATTGTGTACTGTCCCACCCATATCCCGTGGGTTCCACATTGGGTTAAAAATGTGCCTGAGATTGCTGAACAATTAACAGTGCTTGGTACTGGAAGGCGAGGGGAGGGTGACGGAGGGAGCAGCCAATGTCTCTAGCAGACCTGTGCTTGTGAGACACTGGCCACTGAGGGAAGGGTGGGTGCATAACATCCAGAAACCATGGGCATATGGGGTTTTGTTTACTTGTTCCCATGCCGGGGGAAAAAATTTTAGGCATTAAGGGATGCATGATGTCAGACAGCCCCAATTTAAAAAGATTTTGTAAAAGGTAGTCCAAGGGCATTTAGGGATCAGGCCTCGAATTGTAGGTGTCAATTTTGCAAATCTGTGCTGGACCTGAAGCCTAGCGCAATGCATCCACTGTGGTAGGTTTTGTGTCAAAAAAAAAAAAAAATTAGAGGGGTGTGAGAAAAATTCCTTTGAACACAGTCTCTCCTGAAAAAGGGATCCCATAGGACAAGGCAAGTCCTTGTCCCGGTAACAGGTTGGGAACCTGGTGCGGTGTCTTGCAGGGCAGCTCGAAAATAAAAAACTGGGCTTCTTAGGCAATGGGTTGGAGAAGCAACCCTGACAAAGCAGATCTTAGCCTGGCATAAGTGTGGGGAGAAAGGTGTGTTCCCAGCATGTGGCCCAGGGCCAGTGGGACCTCCAAATGAAAGGTTTCTGCACCCCATCAGCCTCTCTGCTGATGCAATAATCCGAATCAGACCAAATCAAACCAAATTTGGAAAAGCCCGGGTTTAATGAGTACAAATGCTCCCAGATGGCTTTCCAGCACCCCCAGGAGGAGACTGGAAAGGAAGACTGGAAAACCACAGGATTGTTTCTTGGGGGGCAGTTTAAATACCGTTTGGGAGTGGTCTTGAGTATTTCTGGGGAGGGGTCATCATTCATCATTTGTTCCTTGAGGGAGGCAGGT